CCCCGCCGACCCGGGACCAAAGGGGGGGCCGAAGGGCCTGCCATGGCAGCTCCCTGTGGGCTTAGCTGGGGCTGGTGAGGAAGGCCGCCGGTGTCCCGGGCCCAGGGGCGCCGCCGCGGGGCCTTTCGTTTCGCAGGGAAGATGCTGAGAGCTCGAGGGAACCTGGAACCGGGCTTTGCATCGAGAAGCTGAAGTCCTGCTCCATAGTTTCCTGTCTTTCAGTTATAATGACACTATTCCCATGTTCCCCAGGATTCTGGAAACGGTCCTTGGGGATGTTTATGGGACCTCAGAGGGCTCTTTCGTGTCTCTTCGCTAAAGCTCTGCACTTTCTAATAAAGGGAGATGTGATATGTGCCATCCTCACACAGGCACTGCTACAAACTGCTCTGACAAAGAGAAGTGACAAAAAGTGACTCACAACAGCACGTTGCAATCTTTTGCACTTTCACCAAGGCATCAGACCTAAAGATGCAGGTCACATAGTTTGCATTGTGACCTCATGCCATTATTTTGTCACACTTTGATATCCACATACCTGAATAGGAACAAGAATAAAGGATAATAAAGAGCTGGAAAGAAACGATAGTGAGCAAAATTTTGAGTTTAAAGGATATACAGGTAGTCCTCACTTACCAACTGCAATCGGGACCAGCAACTCCCCTGCTAAGCAACATGGTCATAAAGTGAAACATCACATGACCACGCCCGACTTACGAGGTCGGTTCCGGCTGCAGGCATTAAGCGAATCACCTGCGGTCATTAAGTGCAATGTCAAGTGACCGTGACTTGTGACTTCCTGTTGGCTTCCCCATTGACTTTGCTTGTTGGAAGCCAGCTGTGAAGGTCACAAATGGTGATCACATGATTGTGGGATGTTGCAACTATTGTAAATGCTCACCAGCTACCAAGCGCCTGAATCGTGATTGCATGACTGCGGGGGCGCTGTGACAGCTGTAAGTTTGAGAACTGGTCATAAGTCTCCTTTTTCAAAGCTGTCATAAGTTTGAACGGTCGCTGAACAAGGCATTCATTAACTGACTACCTGTAGTAAGGTGCTTGATCTCTTGCCTTTATTGTACATGTATAACACATCTATTTCTGAAATATATACTCATTCCTCTAATAATGTGATCTTCAAGCAGCTTTCTTAGGAACAGAAATACTTCTTTTTTTTAATTTCTGACCCCCCCCTCCTCCCCTTTCGCCCTGTAGATGCACTGCTGTGGAGTAACTGATTATAGAGATTGGTACTCCGTATTGGGTGATAACGTTGTCCCTGACAGATGCTGCATGGAAAATTCCCAGGATTGTGGTCGGAATTCCAACAACACAAGCTTGGTGTGGAAAACGGTAACCCAGCCTTACCCGTCATCTGAGTTTTGCCTTTATCCTTACTCACCCATGAATTCCTCCTAACGTGCTTCCTTCATTTACTGGGAATAATAGTGTCTGGCATGATTCCTTAAGCCCTGTAGAATTCAGAGGGACTTACTTCTAGCTGAGTAAGGACAAGATTGGGGCATAAATCTGCTAACAGATAATAACTGTTGTTCGCTCATCCGTTTGTCCAAGAATTGATCTGGTGCTAAAAATACTTGTGTCCGGTTGATGTTTAGATTACAGATCACACAGGGAACTTGTGCAGCTCTCTTACGTTCCATCAGAGAGGGTTTAAGCATTGTGCATAAAAAGCAAAGTCACCTTCAAGTCAACCCGGTGTCTTTGCGGACTTGCCCAAGCAGGTTCCTTCAGCAGCGACGCCAGTGAGGCCGCCTTCTGGCTTCTGGGATGGGATTTCAGCTTCCCGGTCCAAGCTATGACCGTGGTATTCTCCGGAAATCTTCCATGCAGGGAATAAATACACAGTTATAAATTCAGGCAAAATAAATTTAGATAGATTCTTATTGTGCATGCTTAGATACATGTTCTGCATGAAAATAACCTTGCCATTATGCGTATTTTGCAGTCAGTTGCCAAGCATGCAGAATCATGTAATCTGTAAAAATCTGCTTAACTAGAGGGGTGAACAATCTGTGCATGAGCAAAAGAGCAAAGATCCACCTCCTTGATGAGTCCTCATCAAATTTCATTTGAAGTTTCTAATTCCAGCCGCCGAAGGCCCTTGCTTGCAATGAGGATCCAAAGAGGGGAGAACATGTGCAGAAGTCAAACCTTTCTTTTTTCACTGCTGCTCTCTTCAGCTCAGAATGCTCTTGCTACCAAACAGTGTTTCAAAAGGCTGTTCTTTTCCAGGGGTGCTACGAGAAGGTCATGACGTGGTTTGAAGATAACAAGCATATCCCCGGGGCAGTTGGGATGTGCCTCCTCATAATACAGGTATGGGTTAACTTGGGTTCCTTGTCTAGGCATGGGAGGACCAGGCTGGGCCTTTTTGCAAAATGCAAGCTGGGAATCCGGGAGGTAGGGCTCATGATGGCTCCTGACTAGGCACGCAAGAGATTGGCACATGCTTTGAATGGGGCTCTTCGGGGGCTGCGCCCCTGGGGTCAATGATAAGTACTTCTGGTGAAAGTTGCCAACCATTCCATTCTTTTCCTTGCAAAAGTATGCTAATGGTGATGACATATACTTCTTTTCTTGTGCAAAAAACTATTTTTTCTTTGCAAATCTGGTTGCATTAGCTGGTTTGTTCTCAGTTCAAAAGTGCTGCCAATTTCTGCTCCTTTTCCCTTTGGACATGAGTATCTGCAATATTAAACCTATCTCTGGAAAGGGTTATTTAGCTTTGTCACTTACTTGGGATGGGGAGCGGCTCACTGGTGAAGATTAGGAACCAGATGTGAACAGTGAATCACAGCTTCTTCTTGTGTCTCCTCTTCTGCCCCAGAGACTTTGAGAGAGCCAGAGACAGCCACATCACTGTCCAAAACACATTCAAGGAAGAGAGAGGATGACTCCTGATTTCTTTTAGCAGGACCCCCACTGGGGATTGGAGCATCTTCTAACATCTCCCAGCTATCCCTGTGCCAATAAAGCGGTAACGAGACCAGCTTTGCATCAGCTCAGCGATGGCTGGGCAACCCTGGAAGATGCTCTAATACCTAGTTGGGAAATAGCCTTTCTCATCCTCAAGTTTTCTGGAAAGTCCAGCTCCCTGCAGAGTCTCTTGGATGCCTACGATGTTCACTTGGGATTCTCTCAAGTTACAATCAGATGACCTGTGAGAATCACAGAGCTGGTGTTTTTGGTGGCATTGGATCAGAGGCATGGGTTCTCATGGATGCTCATGACTTTCTTGCAAGGGATCCCCCTGAAGTCCCTGTCAGATCAAAGATCACATCTACCTGTATGGTGTGAGCTGTAAGAGTTTCTTGCAGATGCTAAAAGACACGGAGGGCAAGCGGTGATCCAGATCTCCTTGTAGCGGGTCCTGCCTTAGATGACTCTTGTGCAGATTGCATGGGTGTGAACTCAGTAAAAGTGCCGTTTGTCTTCCACTATTAAATCTGACGTCCTTTTCTTGCTCGTCTTCCAGATTCTTGGAATGGCCTTTTCCATGACTCTCTTCCAGCAGATTCACAGGACCGGTAAAAAATATGATGCCTAAAACACTGTTTTGTAACCTCATCAGCCCTTCTCTGTTGCCATTAGGACAGAACAACAACCGCAAAAATGCAAATCAAAGTTTGTCTGACCTTGGGGCTGCCTGCCCCTTTAGTTCACTGGCGGCCTCTTTCCCAAGACGGATTAAACCGAACACGAGTATTACAGGACCTTTTTGTATCTTCTCGTTCATCGTTTTGCCAAAGAAGAGGGGAACCCTCCTGAACGCAAGTCAGTTTTCGACTCCTACTCAAAGGTCCTGTTTCTGACCTTTAAGGCGGAATAATATCCTAGTACTGATCAGTATTAGACCTCTGAGGGTAGCCGAAGGACGCGTCTGTTAACTTTTTAAAATAATCTTTTTTAAATGACTTGTACCCAACTGGGTACTGGGACTTGAATGAAGCCATTCAGATGACACCCCTATCAATTGGACCTGCTTGGACAGAGGGGTTTGGGGGGGGTCAGGGGTACCTTACTGTATCTTACAGAATATTAAGTATTTTCTTTTCTTCTTTTCTCATGTTTTCCCCCAGAATTCTATTGTGCAGTCTTTGAAAAATGCCATTTTTACAGTTTTAAATTTAAAACAGTTTTAAATTTAAAACCGGGAGGAACAATGCAGCTGTTTCTGTTACGATGCGCTTAAAAGAGACTCAGCCGTTGATTAGTCTCTGCTAAGCTGGAGTCAGGCCGTGAGAATCCGGAGACCAGAGCACACCCCCCAACACACACCCCGGGCTTTTCAGGCGGGGATCTTCCACATAAGGCATTAGCGAAACAAACGTCTCCCCGGGAGCATCTCGCTCTGAAAAAGTTAGCGTTGGCGGCGGCGGCGGCTGCTCAAGGGCGAGCTGGTACATGTCGGGAGACCCGGCCGATGACCCTGCCTTGGCTCTCACTTCTGGTAGTCTTAAAATAGGATGGGAGTGACAGACTTTTGATAACTAGGCTATGATGCCCTTACTAAGGCTTCCCTCTGATCTTTAGAAAATCTGCGACTTCGGTCAAAGGAGGGATACCCTCCATAACAAGAACCAGCAATCACTTTTGTATTTCACAGAATAAAACAGCAATTTCCAAACGTCGTATCAAGCTAGTGAGCAAAAAATAAATAATGGATGGGTCTTAAAAGTCAGGTTTTCTGCGTACCCGGAAGCTGCCTCCCTTTCTCTGCATGGCTCCTTGCTCTAGTTGTGGCAGGTAATGCTGCCCCGCTGGGGGTGCACCAGTTGTTGCTTTCTGGAGGCAGAAACACCGTTACTTGTCCCTGGGAGCAGGTTGGTTGCTTGGCGGCTTTGCGTGGGTAATTGCCTGGAAGTTGCCTCCTTCCCAGGAGAAAATATGCTGAGATTGGTGCTCATGCAAAACGTGAGTTATTCCCACTTTTGCATCCTCTAAAAATAAGTGTGTAGTGTAAGAATGAAACTTTTTCAGGAAAAGTAGGAAATCATGAATGATTAAACCAGTGGATTCTCCTCCTCCTCCTCCTCCTCCTCTTTTACTTCCAGGGTCAGAGTAGTAGATAAGGTCAAGGGAGAGGATTTCCTCCTTTTTTGTGTAGTTAAAGCTCAAGGGCTCAGCTTTAGCTACACTGCTGTGGTGTATGGCAGACCACGGGTGAGCCGAGAGACAAGGGTGGAGTGCAACCGAGGCTCCTATTTGGAAATAATCGCCAGTGAGCATCTGAGAGAAAAGGAAAGGAACCTGAATTAACATCAGGGAAGCCTCAGATGAAACGAGAGGGTTAAATAATGTGGTCCAAGGCCCTTTCCTTTTCCTTTAACCTTTATTACATCAAACTAATTAACAGAAATAAAAATTGCATACCCTGCAAACCAGGTGTAGATTTATCCTTCTAACGCTGCAAAATAATTATTTTTACCATCTCCATGCACAAGAAATCTACAGTTCTTGATGCCCCAGATTCCAGATTCTGGTGATAGAGCCAAACGCACCCATCCTTGACTCACCACGCTCATTTTCGTCATTATTGCACTCTTACAGACTTGGACCCAAAATATGGTAACAATGGGGCAAGCCTAGAATTAATCTCCATCTCTTGAAGTATATCTCTAGTAGCCACCCTTACCGAACAACCTCTGAGGCCCTTAATACGTATGAGATAGGATTTTTGCTGTGTTAACCACATTTTAAGATTAAAAATAGTTTCACATTCTTTAAGGCAACTGTCCATTGGTTTTAAAAATGCAGGTCATTCCAAGTTACTGTAGGTAGTTAATATCAGTTTCTTCAAAGTCTTCATTCAAAAAGAAAATGGGTAGTCCCAAAAGCCCCTCACAGCTGCGGCTGTTCAGAGGGAGAAATAGCATCAGGACCAAACATCCAGGTAACAAACACTTAACTAGAATAAACTGCCAAGAAGCAATCTGAAGTAAATCAAATTCAGTTTTTATAGACTTTTTAAAAACAATTGCATCAGAACTATGTTTTTCAAAAGTAAAGACAAACTGAAAGGTTCAATTTACTAAAAAAAAATTAAAACAAAAAGTGGATTAATTATCTATTTTTAAATGGGAGGAATAGCATAATGCAAACTTTTATGCATAAGGGAGTTAGAGTTTTGTCTGCAACCAAATCTCTTCTCTATTTATCTTGTGACATTAAGTTTCCAATACTGAAACTAATCCCTGAACAAACCAGGATTTCAGACGAATGAAATGGTTCAAGTTGAAAGCAATCAGGAGCTGAATTCTGAGGTTCCTAATTCCAGCCTGCGACAGAAGCTAAAATAAATGCAAAATGCTAAGCCTGAAAGGGTGGACAGTTAAATCCATATTTGCCAGCTGGTCATTGTAACTCACGCCATGAAAATCCTAAGATATACCCCTTCCAGAGAAAATTATTTAATACATTTGCTTGAAATAATATAAAGGCACAAGAAGGTCTTTTAAAATATACGTAGAGTTAAAGTTACCTTAAGCATATTTATTGCCCCGGCAACTGAAAGGAATTCTAAATTCTTCTTTAGTTTGATCCAGAATTGGAGATGATTTCAAATTCGCGCTTAAGAAAGGTTCCCACGGGCCTTTATCCCCAGGTCAACAAAAGGATCAGGAAGCAGCTGCAAGCCTCAGTCACCAGCTTTGTGGGAATCAGTCCACTGGCCTCAGGCCTGACTTCCTCTGAGTTACAGAGTGACCGCGCAGGGGGACAGGAGGAATGTCCCTGACCTCTATAAAACATGCCATCTGTAGGTGACAGAGCCTCGGACTCTCCCTCGTCTTCTGTGATCCTCTTAATATTTTCAGGTTTCTAACAGTGCTGACAAGAGGACATCCTTGACTCGTTCCACGACGCAAGGCACATCATTTACAGGTGATCTGGCAGTGAAATGAAATACGTTGATCCAGGGCATAAAACTCTGTGGAAATCCAAAATAAGCCAGTACATGCTTTAGAAACTTCCAAGAACCAAATCAGACGTTTTCTCGTGTCTAAAGAAACAAAGGCTTCTGGGTTCTGTCTAAGGCAATTTATATGAATTAAACATCTAATTATCAGAACAATAGTCTGATAAGCATTAATATAATACTCAGCAATACTGGTGAGCATAGGCAGAAAAACAAGGTGTAATCCATAATCCACTCAAACTAGGTTTATAACTGGAACAAACAAACTTGGCTTGGAAAGAACTATAGTATTTGCCTCATTTAAACTAAGAATAGGAATCTATTTGACAAATTTTCAATATATATCTCTAATAAAAAACGGAGATACAAACCCAATATATTTTTTGTCCCAGTCAAGGAGAAGACCATCAGTTCTGAAGCTTTCCATGGTTTCATAAATGTAATGGTAGTCACAATCTCTTGAATAAACAGAAGGAGTAAAATGTGGTAATCTCACATTCTTTAGAAAATAATTTTATCTCCGCATTTGTTGATGAGCAACTGTACAATTTGAGATAATTCTTTTCTTTAAAAAAACGGAATGATCTGTACATTCCTGTCTATATTATATGTAGAAAATGGAGTAGTTTATTATCATCAAATGAAGCTACAAACTTGACTTGAGCACTGCGTGGAATAGTTTAGTGCCCGTATCACGCCTGGGGTTTGCTTTGGATGGCCCAGAGAGGTTCCTGAGCAAATCCGGGGTTCCTCCCAAAGGACTCTATCGCTTTGCAAATACACAGGTAGCATTTACATTTGCCTAAGATCAAGTCTTTATCTCTCTATAATCTCTAACTAATCAGCTCCCAGATAGTTTCCTGTAAGTCTCTTGACTGACTGACAGCGTTTTCGGTGTTTCCTCTTTGCTCGGTGGGCCAAGTTCACCTCACATAGTCTTTGCTTTTCTTTCTACTTCTGTTCCTTCTGAGATGTAGAGGGTCTCCTCCTTTCTCAACTGATTCCTTTCACAGCCTCTTGACACACCCTTTCCTCAGCCTGCCATCTCAGTCTGAGGAGTTTGGCTTCTCTCTTTCTCCCTCAAAGATTCCAGGTGGGGGAATTACTTGGAAGTTAACTTCCTCTTTCTTTTGAATAGTAGACTTTTTCTCCTTTGCCTACATGTAGCTTCTTCCTGTTGGTCCCACAACAATACAGCTTTCTTCCTGCCTGCCCCACATCCTTGTCTTCCCAGACCCATGTCTTCTGTCTCCTTTAGATGAACTCAAATCTGGGAGCTCCTTCTCCAGCACCATCAGTCTCTTCTCAACCCAATCACCAGAAGCTTTGCCTTCAACCAGCCGAGGTCTATTATGCTAAGATCCTCTACCAGAACCCCAGCAGAAAATCCACAAATGGAGCCATTGAATTCAATGGATCCTGAGCAAAGGCAGACATGGGAAAAAGGGACGTGGCACGGAAGAGGAAAGAAAAGCTCGCACAAAGTTCAAACAGCCATACAGACTATCATCTTTTCTTGATAGCCTGATTAGAAGCTGGGGATAAAAGGTTTGTCAGCCTGGAAGTAGAAGGTAGCAAAACAATAACATTTTTCAGCCCCCTAAAGATATTTCAGTGGAACTTAATAAGAAACTTTCCGCTTACCAGGACAACAAAAGTATCGCCAGAATTTGTCTAATGATTTCAGAACAAAGACGGCTGAATACTGAAAATTCCTTTCATAATCCATGTTTCTTGCTGTGCCAAATGCCTTTTCTACATTCATTTTTTTCCACATTAGTAAATAGTCTGATTTAGATTGACAGGATCAATAGCTGACAAATACTGCATAGGCTCTGTCATAGTCCCTGACTGCAATCAGTGCTCTTTCTGGGCAAGGAAAGAGAGACTGAATTACTAAATGCTTCAGTCCTGCCAGACGCGTTACCTCAGAGAACCTGTTTCCCATCATCTCCGCCTCCCTCACCCCACATGGGCATAACTTCTCCAAGAGGGAGCTTTGATGGAATCGGCCTTCAAGCCACACCAACAACAACATACTTAAAATAGGCTATAGTAAGAGCCTGCCTCTGTTTGGAGACACGGCGCTTAGAGAGGTCATCTAACCAACTACACTGTGTCTATTTCTGGTGCCTGCAAAGGGGTAAATGTTGGGCATCTTGTTTACATCTTTCTCAAAAACACTGTCTTAGGCTTGATGTCTAGTTGGACATTAGCCTGTACAGAAATGAGCACTAACAACATGGGAAGGAATAAAAATTACAGCCAGAATTTTAAAATGTACTGCCAAGCTAATGCCTTGATTGGTCCCCATCCCACTTCCACATGTAGCACTGCAGACTTCCAACAAAGTTCTTAGAAAACTAATCTAGACTTTCAGATTAGAAGTCCAGAATATGCTTACCATCATCCAGATGCTCAGGGGGTGGGGGGGACCCTCAGAAATTTGAAAGACTCAACCTGTTCTATGGTGTTCCTGTCTAATTCCCAACTGTGGGATCTAGATCGCCTGGAAAAGCCCATTTCCTTCATCTTTTGGTGGCTAATGGTCAGCCTTTCAGCTGTGTAGGGGGCAATAAGAGCCCTGAGACAATTTCAGAAGATTTTGGCATGATCAAGGGGATGGCTACGTTTCCCCATGTAGTTACTCTAGTAGAACATACCTTTTAAAAAATCATGCCCCAGGACAGAGCTGAGGAACTTCATGGCACACTTTTCAGCTGTGAGAAGGAAAGGCCAGCAGTTGATCGGCCCTCTCGATATCTATTGATAGCGGATAGTCTTCTGGCAAGGAGCAGATCGCCTCTTACCTGCTTTTCTGGAATTCTAACTACAGGCATATTGGATCAGAGAGACTGAAACTCTAAAGACATTACTTTGTCCTGAAGGACCTTCTTAGCGTTCAATAATTATAGAAATATCACAAAATTCTCACTGTGATATTTTGTTCTCAGTACATCACACCTACTACTTACTGTGTTAACAGTAGCTGAAATATACATATACCCTTCAGGCTAAGCAACGTTATACAAAGGCAGGAGATAAGAGAAAAGGAAATCTAACTGAATCTAATTTACACCAGAAGGATTTATTATACCTCTTCATGCCCTTCCGCCCTTGCAAATCATCCTTTATTTCCTCTCATCCATATACCAGCTCATAATTGTCTTTTGTCCTTTAACCTCCTCATCTCTTTCATTTTTGAGAAATTCATCAACTTCGTCCGATTGTGACTTCCTCGGTCTTTCCGCTCCCCTCAGGCTGTTCAGACTTCCTTCATACATTTGCTTTGCAGTCTGATTTTCATCCATCCCATCTACGTGATCAAACCACCTCAGTGTAGTTCTTTCATACCAATTACTCAATTTTGTATTCAGTCTGCATTTATTCAGTGCTTATTCATTCCTGATCCTAACACTTCTTGTTCTACCACATACATTTCTTAAGTGACATAGACGTGCTACGGCTCCCTGTACAGGAGAACAATAACAGTCTTCTTCCAGTTGCCAAGCACAGGAGCAGTCTTCACACACGTCAAATGAGTCGCACTCCATAGACAAACCACATCCATATTTTTACACTTCTGCAGTTAAACCATCTACTACCCTGCGTCCATTTCTGGCACCTGCAAAGGAGTAACAGTTGGGCATCTTGTTTACATCTTTCTCAAAAACACTATCTTAGGCTTGATGTCTAGTTGAACATTAGCCTGTACAAAAATGAGTGCCAACAACTTGGAAAGAATAAAACCATTTTCAACATTCTAACAGTATTTATTACTTCCTTTTCACATTCATGAATACTAACATTTATAGCATTCTCTTCCTTTTTTCTACATATCACTATAATTTCAGCAATTACTTACTTCAGTTTCATCCTAAACCACTTTATTTTTAATTCCATTCACTCTACTAGAGGTTCCTTTTTTAGTCCTTTCACCCACTTCAAAACCTTTTTAAGTTTTCCATTAAAACCACTCTGCATTTTCTCTGCCTCTTTAAATTATAAATGTTCCTTGCTCTCTTTGACTACGTTCTTTAGAAACTAGCCTTTTCTGTCTCTGCATGTTTTTCACTGTTTTTCTTGTCATCATGTTTTGCGGTGATCCTTCTTTTATACACGTTTTTCTCATCCACAGCTTCTTTCACTTCATCATTCCACTAAACATGTATGTTCATACTTCCATTAGTGTAACTCCATACACTCCGGTGACACTCTGTAACAGCTTCAACATCCTCTTTCCTATGTCCACTTTCTATCTTGGGAGATTTGTCTATCTTCTAATATTATTTTTATAGAGGAGTCATACCTTATTTTCTTCCAAATGTGCTACTTCGACTCCATTTCTTTAACATCTTCACTTTTCTTTCATCCCCAGTTTGTCCAAGCATCCACTCTGAGCCAGGAAGCAACGGTGCTCTTGGATTACCTCATGAGAGTCTGTCCCCCATTCAGAACTTATGATTACTCTTCTATCCTTCACTAATTTTTTTAGTTTTTCATCATAAACAATCATATCAGGCATGCTTTTTTATTTTTTTCTTTTCTGTGTGTACATACGGATTCCTTATCCTTACAATGTACAGTATTTGAAAAAGATGTTACCGCCCTCATTTGTTTGTGGGTCTCCACGTGGCTCACTTACTTTTTTGCCTTCTTTTTCCCTTGGTCTACAGAAAATATTTTTTCCTGTGGATTGCATTTTATTCAAAATATGGCACAGTTTTCTCATCCCCAGTTCTTCTATCGTCACTCTTCGCTGGAGTGTAACATGCAATTATCAGCAACCTATGGATTCTCATTTTTATACACACCCCAAACAATCTAAATGACACCAATTAATACTTTCTGACATATATTGTAGTCCTTTCATTCCTAATTAATTCTAACCTTGACTTCCATTCATAGATTCATCAGCTCAATTTCGTAGTATCAGTTCATCTTCATTCAGATCTATATAGTACTTCTCTTAATGTCATACCCACACAACATACCTTTTTTATTTCATTTCTCTCATAAATTCATTACTCCACTTACATTCCAAGTCACAATCTTCCATATGCCCTGGCCATCACTGGATGGGTCCATAGATATTGACCTCTGCTGTCCATCGTGACTTTGGTCAACCAAAGCCTTCACATAATACACTTTAGTAAGATATGCTGGGCTACAATGCTTAGTTATACCTGTTCCATATGCAGCATTCCTTGCTTTGATAAGGACACAATACTAATCAAAATTGGCACATTTTGGCCAGTGTGACACAAGCACAACCAATGCACCGAGGTTTTACTCCAAGCATGCTCACATTATTCTATGCACTTTATGGTGGTTCTCGGCATCTCTAGATGTGCTAACCCAAATCCTGACACTCCGCACAAATTATGTTATACCTCCCCATAGTCTGGACATTCATAGTAGTTAACATGAATGCCCTGTAGGTGAGAGGCAGGGAGGGCATAAGCAAAAACATGATCTGTTG